CATAAAGTGTCGATAAAAACCGCCAAATACTTGTTGGAAATTTTGGACGAAAACGCCGCGCCATACGTTTAGCCAACTAATCTTTAACTGCACAGAAGGCATGTATGCAGACATTGAGGCTGCGAAAGCTAACTCCACTAACATTGCGTTGCAGCGCCGACGCAGAGACATGAATTAAATATCGGACAAATTCCTTTCTCTCCCCACCTCTCACCCCTAACTAACTTCCTATTGAATTTTAATTTTTGTCAGGACAACCTCACTTTTATTGGTTTTAGTGCACGAGTACTAATAATCGGAAACTTGGGTTTGTCAAATGTAACATCGTGAAAGCATCATGGCCTGAAGGTTTTTTAAGCGAAACCTTGTAAAAAGTGTCGTAATGAGGCAAATGAAGAATCACTGTGGATTTGAGTCCGTTTAACAAACATATATTTGTTTGGTTGCAGTTTATACACAATACCAGAGATTTCAGGTACGATATGCGTTCACTCACAGTATATAAAGGAGCGAGCACCGATTCTTAAATAATGCGTACGCCACTGGTATGTTTGACGTAGGAATACGTATTACCTGATCAGTTTCTAATTCAACTGAGTATGCGCGTATTTATAGCAAGTACTTCTTCGTCAGGTTTTGTCGAATTATTTACTCCCGGTGAGCCAGCGTTCCCGCCTGGTCAGTTCATTGGGAGTCCTCTTCGGTTTCAATTCTTACGTCTGGTTTTGCCTTGTTGCACATATTTCGCAGCGGCAAAATCTAAGGTTTGGACATTTTTCCTCTATCCTCTTACGTATCTTGGGCTCTCTACGCCCCAAACTCTTTCCGGTTGCTTACTACTGATTGGATTTTCGTTATTTTTCACCTCAACCTCATTTTAATTGCTGTTAGTTCCTAGGGTTGAATAAAGGGAAACGTAAGTTCGCCAAACTTGACGTCTTGAAATCATCCTTGGTTAGATGTTAATTTAGCGAACATTTTGGTCAGCTGTCCTTATGTTGGGAATTTGGGAATGGCAGTTGACATGAATTCGTTAAACATAAATAACTTCTGATTAGTTTCTCTCATGATTTAAGGCCGAAGGCATCACTTACTGTGTGCGTTTACCGAAGGCATGTTAAGGAATATGCCTTTATTCTTAACGGATGCGTGTACCACTGGTTTCTGGGATCCACGTACACTTTCTGGTATGCAGTTTCCAATTCAACTTCGAATTAGCGCATTTATTAAACACAATACTTCGTAAGGTTTAGCCGAAAGGCAAACAGAAACGTTCACGTAGAACAGTTAAGATATGATCGAGATGATACGTTTTAATGATCGCAGAATAAACGTCTTTGTAATTTCCTTATTTATTTCGGGATAATTATTTAGATACGAGAACCTGCAGTTATGGTCGGGACATGGCCTTAGTGCACAAAATTCGAAAATGTTCGTAACGGACAACGAATGAGATTATCATCTCGTTTTCTTGTACAGAGATGTGGTTCTCAAACCAAAGGCCAGCAATGGAGCGAAAGATGGTGCATTATGTTTATTGACAGTTTTATGTAAGGACTCCTGCAGCAGTTCAGTTTGTGGTGTCCTTAGCGGCGCATAGTCAACCGCAGATATAATCGAGTATAGCATCGCGATCTTACATGTTATAGCGATTAGCAACAACCTTATTCGGGAACGCTAATGCTGTGCACTAATGGGAATTTGCGCCCAATTTGACAATGAATCGCTTTATAAGAATAGATACGGAAGAAGACTTTTCGAGTGGTAGATCAATTGATTTATTGTCCTGAGCCTTCAATCTCTTACGGGGGTCCATCTTCAGAGATGACAAGCAGCAACCAAAAGGAGGGTAATTGTCGTGGCCATAGACCAACCGATTGTCAGCAGTCACCAGAGCGTCAAGGCGTAGGAAACAGCAACCGAAACTGATGACAGGGGCAATTGTAATGGTAAACGCTTAGTAACTGTCAATGGA